CATTTTATTGTGCTCCCTCTATTTTCCCAAGGACTGCCTCACAAACTGGCAACAGATTACTGCTGGATTTCCACTGCAGCTACTGCTAAAAGACGAGGCAGTTCCCACCTTGTTGGGCAAATCTGGAGATTCCAGATCACAACTTGTAAGTATGCTTTATGAGTTGTGAATTTGTTGTGAGAAAAAAAAAACTAGGAAGCTGCTACTGAGTGTTGAAGAGTGGAGTAGATGGCTAACGTTAGGCTGTACACTCAGTGCTTTGCTGTAGGCCTCGGCTAACTGGCTAACTGAAGCTATTGTTTTAAAATGCTTTTGCTACTCTGTGTTTGGGCTGCAACTAAGGATTATTTTTATTGTCGACTAATCTGTTGATTATTTCTTCAGTTAGTCGACTAATCATTTTATTGAAAAATGCGTTAAAATGTTGAAAAATGTCAGTCTGTCTCTCCCAAACCCCAAAAGTATGTCATCTAATGTCTTGTTTCGTACTCATGCCAAAGGGTTTTAGTTCACCGTCATGGGAGAGTGTGTAAAGCTGCCAATATTTGAACGTAAGAAGCTGCAATAAGACTATTTTGGGGTACTTTTATACTTTACTTTTGTATGAAAAGTGACTCAAACCGATTAGTCGACTACTAAAATAGTCACCGATTATTTTGATAGTCGATTAGTCATCGATTAGTCGTTGCAGCCCTACTCGGCGTACATTAAGTTAAACTGCTAGCTGGATGGTGTCAGTAAGATGAATTTAACGATTGAATTGTGGAGAATCTAACAGAGCTAAGATGTGTCCATATTGACAAAAGCTAGCCTACTGCTGCCAGCTCGAGTGATTAGCTGACAGCAGGCAACAGTCAGACCTGGGGTGGAAGTAAGACCTTTGTTTATTTGTCAGAATTGATTGTGAATCAGCTTTTGAGGAGGACCTTTTATGCTTTCTCCCTTTTCCTTTGTGTTTTACACCGCAAATTGCCAACTACTTTACCTCTAAACTGCAACAAATATAATATGCTAGATCAAAACCTGAATGTAAACTTAAATTGTAGTTGTACTACTACAGACAGTGCCACTGTACTGGATGAAAACATTTTCCTGGCAAAAAATATTAGTGGCCAGGCAGTGCAATGAGTGCATGTAAACATACATTGTAAACAAAAATTGTAGCAGAGCTACTGCTACAGACAGTGCTGTACTGGATGAAGTTTTTACTTTACTGGCAAAACATATTGCTGGCCTGGCCAGGTAGTGCAGAAAAATATCAGAATATGTTTATGTTGTAAGTGTTTGTGCATACACATTCTGTGTGTGTGTGTGTGTCTGTGTGTGTGTGTGTGTGTGTGTGTGTGTGTGTGTGTGTAAACTCGCCTTTTACTTTTGCTTCACGACCTGCACGTCTTGCAAACACCTCCATTCTCGCTTGAAAAAGAAAAAATATCGCTGAGTTTCTCCGGTGGCGTTCGCACGTCTGTTTGTATGTATTCGGACAGCCACTTCACCTTAAACGGCACGCGTTTTTTCTTAAGATTTCCAGAGAACGAAGCGCCACAGCCCACACATTTAGCCATAGCTACGATGCTATGGCTAATGGCTAACAACAAATAAGACAACAGCAAATACCCAACATAATGCCATTGATTGGCTGTCAAGCTAAACAACCGTTGCAGATATTGGCTGGGCAGCACCTGGTGGGCATGTTTTTTTAATCATCACTGACTGACAGTTCACTCTCATCTGTCACTCATTGCACAGACAAACACCCACAGTGGAGTAGGCTACGTATTTACTGTTCAAGTCAAGACAGTGCATATGAGAAAAAATAAAAAAAATAAAAACAGTAAAAACCGGTCGGGATATTTGAGCATGGAACTTTTTTGTCATCTGCGCAAAGAGGTGGGGAGCAGTGCACAATTGCGCAGCAAAACAGATTAGAGGGAACAGTGCCACTTACCTCTCCCAGGGAGGTCAACAACAAAAGGGAAGAGGAAAAGGCACAGAGACACTAGTTACAGAGGGCAGTGTCACACTGTATAGTAAACATAGGGTTACAGTCTCAAATTAAAGTTCCACATAACTGACTCGGAGGCCTAACATGTCAGGTATTAACTAAAATAAATATAAATAAAATAAACTTACGGTTACACAGACTTTGTGTAATTATAACACAATAACTAATGTACATTTTCTTTTACACATATTGCTGCTGCCTCATTGAACCTGTTACATAACCTCAACCCTGTACTGCTCAGTCAAGTTCTATACATCTTTTTTTTCACCGGAGATATTCTAAAAATAGTAACAACTCCTGACGGTTAACCGGGTCAGATAAATAATGTATACATAGCCCCGGGTGTCTGCAAAAATATACATTTGTATTATGTTTTAGTAATGCATCAGAGCACTTAACACACATACACATGTGGATACATAAATAGCTGTAGTGCCTCCTCCACCATGAGTCCTTTAGATCGGTAAAATACAGGACAGGGGTTGGCAGGTTCAGCAAAAGGGTCAATAGACTCATTGATTCCATGGTTCAAAAACTGTTTGGCTTCAGGGATTTGGCAAGTTCACTTAGCAGAAGGTCCCAGTTACTTCTTCACACTGGTTTAAAGGGACAAACACATCTTTGGTTTTTCTTGTACCTGTGATTTTGTGAAAATGCATTTAAGGGGCATTGTGACCAATGTAATGTTTAAAATGTGTTACGCTTTATATGTTTGGAATTGTCAGGTGATCTTTATGGTGTAAAAGGCATCATATTTATCTAAGAGAGACAAAGGCCTTATCACCCTATGTTTTCTCTGAACCTATACTTTAGGTAGTTTATACAGCTGATGGTAGAGCTTAAAGTTCTATCTTTCATATTTGTTTATATTTTGTTGTTGCTTTTTAATGAGTTGATACTTGTTTCTGTATTCATTTTGGGGAGCTTTTATTTTTGTGAATTCGATTTTTGGTGACGTAATTTCCTGTAGATTTGCTCTATCCTCCTCACTCGTTTTTTGGACCCCATGAAGAGAGGTATGAGTTATGTGTGTTTTTGGCTATAAAGCGTTGAAATGTGATAGAAACATTAAACAGAGGTGTGAACTTTACATGGTACAGGTCACACATGCTGTCTGTAGCTGGTACATTTACTTCAGTGTTCATTTATGTAGTTTTCTTTATCAGTGCAGCACTCGTATGTAGCATGCTAAATTACTGATCTCAAGTTGAGCTAAAGGAGCATGGCGGCAGTTTTTCATGCAGGTTGTTGTGTTGCCTCTTGTTTCTAAAGGCGCCGTATGTTAGATTGTGGCCTAAACGGTTACTGCACTCAAATTCAAAATACTGCCACGAGTCGTGTCCGCCCCAAGTTTGAGCAAGTCTGGCTTCTCTGCTGCTAACGCTGCTGCCGGGATATAGTGGAGGAGGAGCCTGCTGCTAATGCTATGTACCGGTACACTGCTAATGCTGCTTGCCGTACTGCTAACGTTTGTTTCTCCAAAAAAACAAACAGTCAGGTTGATGACCCACCTGCACATGGGCTACAATGTATGATCGAAATTGAATAACAGTTGAAAGTATTCGAAATGTCCATCCCCGTCTAGCTATGATGCTAGTTAGCCAACTTTGGCTAAAGCTAACCTGTCGAGGAGAAGAGTAGCCACTTCGACATCCGATTTCAAATTCTTCTCCGCTTTCAATCATCTCCACCATTCAAAAGCATCTCCTATATAGACCCTTGCTTTGCCTAGAGTTTTGTCTTGGCATTTTTGGGAATCATAACGAGGTCGTTTGGGTTTAGTCACACCATCAGCCATTGTAGGTCAGTCGTAACTACTGGCAACCCGGATGCTGAGACTCTACTGATTGCGTGACTGGTAGACAGCGGTGGGTGGCGCAACAGGCCAAAACACAAATTCAAAACATAAACATGATTTTGTAAAAAAAAAAAAAAAATTTAAATGCAAATGTTCTGGCTGTACTATTGTTGTCAATGAGATCAGTATGCTATACCTATTACAGTAACATTATTCCTTAGTCTCTGTGACATATTAGGATGATTTTACAACTACTACTTTAGATTTCTTACATATAGCGCCTTTAAAAGTGTGCTTGTGGAAAGTTGGTCATGAGAAGTTGCCGTACTGATTTTAATGTGTTTTGCACAGGTATGTAAGCTCCTTCTATGTTGATTTTTGTGTAAATTCGTTCTAATGAAATATTTAAAAAATTGGCGCTGATGGGGGTAAAATATCTCTTAAACTGCACATTGTTATTGTAACTACACAGTCTGTAGATCTATAAATCCCCCTGGACAGCGGCGCAGTTGTCCTCGTCTCCTTCTTCATCATCCACAAACACAACGCACAGCTTGTAGCAAACCAAAGTGTCAGGCCAGACCGGTTACATAGACATAATAAAAAAGTATGTCCATTGGGAAATCTGAACCAGTTATGTGGATTTCTCAAGTGAATTTGTTGATAGTGTTTACAGTATGCTATGCATAAAGTTTACTTTATATAAAGAATACTTTTAATATTAAGAGTGAACATATTGCTAAATTTCAACTTCAGATTTGGATAAAACAAACTCTTTTTTTAATTTCATCAGTGCTTGTTTTGTGTACCCACACTTCGTTTCTATGGGTGTATGTGGGGGTGGAATATGGATGAGCTATACTTATTTTTATTGGTTAACTTTCTTAGCATTTTCTTGTGATACTTATTATATTTACTTTCTTTTTTATTTATTAATCAATATTTTCATTGTACCTGTTACTTCTAAAATCTTGGCTATTCCCTAGCATACAGGGAGGCTGGGTTTACAAGGAGTCGATGAAATAGGCTTACTCCTCTCTCTCTCTCTCTCTCTCTCTCTCTCTCTCTCTCTCTCTCTCTCTCGCGCGCGCACGCACACACACACACACACACACACACACACAGTGGGCGTGTCTTTTCTCCAGCTGGAGTAACTGGAGGCGGCGCTGCACCGTGCTGACAGGGAATGGCCGTGTCTCTGCGCTCCGACGCCGGCTGACACATTAACAGCTCTCCGCTCCATCACTGCACTGCTCCGAGCTGCGCGTCTCGCAGGCTCTGGGACTAGACACGTATTCCATGCTACACTTCGGTAGGTCTCCGACTCTTTAACACCTTTTTAAGGGGCGTGGGTGTGTTGTGTGTGTGATGACATTGTGGCCAATACAGAGTGGGTACTTGGGGCCGTAATTTGTCCGCTGTGAGCCACAGGTGTGCTTGAAAAGATCCGTATCGGTAAATGCGGTTTGTGCGCGGATAGAGCATGCTACTGGGTAAGGAAGCACTCTTCATTGTCTGCATGCTGTCCCAGCGGACTGAAGAGGGTCGCCTGCATCTTGTCAGCGTGTGGGTGCGGGCTGGACTGTTGAGCGCACGCCGCCTGTCTTGCCGCGACTTTAGGGGCAAAGGTAAGTGGTCAGCGCGCGCTGATAGTACAGCTTCCTTTCCAGCAGTAATTTTCACGGCTCTCTTTAACAAACACTTGATTTCGCCGTGTTCGCACTGTGCTTGGAAATGAAATACAAAAAAATACTGTAAATAACAAAGTAGGCCTACTGTATAGATACCGTCTAATCAACTGAGGAAGGCCGTCTCCAGCAGCACACAGTCAGGGCAGCACTGCTTTTGCGTCGTCGCTCTACCTTCTGATGCTGCCAGAACTGCTTTGTGTATTGGAGCAGAGGGATCCAGCCACGCACATAGGCTGTGATTGACCTTTTTAAATAACTCCAGTGTAAGGGGCTGTCATCTTAAACAAAGGAAGAAAACGTACTTTTCTGTGAATTGCGCACGTTCATTCGCTTGTGCACCCAGCTGCTGTTGTCCGCCAATTTAAAGCAGTCGTCTGCAGGTTTTCCTTCTCTTCCACTCCATGAATGGTGCGCACTGTTCAGCGGTAGTTTCGCGGTGCTGTTCGGCTCCAGAGGAAATAAGTGAACTGTGCTTTCCAGTCTGCTTCGAACAGGTGAGTGGACTTGTTTGTCTTTAATACCTGCAGGGATGGTGCTGTCATATTTGTTGTTTGCACAGGTCTTTGTACATCCGGTCTGTAGCCAGAATTTTAGCTTTACAAAGTCAAGAGTCCTCAGTGCAAACCATCCCTAAACCTCTCTTTCTCTACGTTTCTGTGTTAGTTTCAAACATAATTTTGTAAATGCTGTTTCCAGGCCTTCCTTATAATGTCAGGAATATAACTGGAGGAATATATTTGTCTGTGTTGGTCCTTACACAGTCAGAACAATTTTGGTATGAATGATATCAATATCAGGCTTACAAGGTCATAATGCAATTTGTGTGTAAGTCCTCACATCTCATAGTGTAACATATAAACATTAAATACCAAAATTATTTTTAGTGGTTCTTTGGAGCATTTTATAAGTACATGTGATTTTTTTTTTTTTTTTTTTCCCCTAACATCTGAAATTGATTTCTGTAGAATAACATATCATTAACTCTGCAGTTAACGGACACAGTATGAAACTGTCCTGATATCTCTACTATTCACTATAGCATTCTGAAATTGATTGTAACAGCTACTGGTAGCTTACATGTCTGGTGTCTAACACATGTTCATAAATTGCTCCTACTCCTTTTGTCTCCATTTGCAATGAAACTCAGATGTAGTTCAGGCAGCTGACAGTGAGTCTGTGTTTGTGACTGCACAATGTGGGGATCAAGTGGAATCTGCTTTGGCTGATGAAATGATGATGCCTCAGAGCTGTCTGTGGCTGACTTCTGCCTTCCTGTGTTCCCTTATCACCTTCAGTGTCCTCCAGGGAGGATGACATGATGATGAGCAACAGAATAGCACTTTAACAAGCAATAGGAAGAGGAGAAGGCAGGGCAAGAGTGGCAGTTTTGATGACAATAAGGGGGAGGATGGCATTTGTGTGGACTAAGGTTGTGAAAAATGTGTTTGAGTGACCTGCTCTATTTTGAAAAAAAGAAGGCTATACAACTACTCGAGGCTAAAATAAGTCAAGCTCAACAAGAACAGGCAGCAAGAACAGGTTGTGAGTCTGTTGGATGCTGTTGGTGATGATGAATGTTGAGATTATGAAGGTGTGTAGAAATGCAGCTGAGAAAAAATGTGAGAGAAAAGAGAGAGGACCATCTCCCTGGGTGTGACGCTGGCACGAGAATTACACAAACTAAGGTGTAGTTGCATTACCTTTCATCTACAGCTGACTTGCGAGAGAGAGAGAGAGAGGTACATTGTGTGTGTGTGTGTGTGTGTGTGTGTGTGTGTGTGTGTGTGTGTGTGTGTGTGTGTATCTGTAAGAGATTCCTTTTGTTATTAAAGGTTTGCATCACTTGTACTTATGCTGCTCTGTTGTGTCTGATCTGCCATGGATGCTGGCCTGACTTCAGCTGCTGAACACAGACGAGGGGAGGATTGTGCAGCACTTTACTGTGTTCTTCTTGTGAGGACATTCTCCCTGGTACCAGGTCAAGGGAAATGATGCCTGATTCTTTTTAGGGATGTCATGCTAGCTGAGGGTCTTCTGGCAGACTCAGTCATCTGTGGGCTACTGTTCAGTGGCCTTGCTAACTAGGCTAAAGTGACTGACACTGAGACAGTAATCAGCACTAGTGGTAGCTTGAATGCCCCTGTCAGTCTGGCCTCTGGGACAGGCCCATTTATGGCAACCCACTGGATCCGTGGCGTTTTGCGATCCGGCCGAGGCACGGGTGCCGGAGCTAATAGCGGCCATTCAAGTCAATGTCAGCTGCTCCATCAGAAGCGCTGCGGTGCATCCTAGCCGCAGCCTAGAAGCAGCTTGGCGCTCTGCTCCGTTAAAAATACGCGCCAGGTCTATTTCTGATGGACGCCACGCGACGGTGCGTCAATTTGCACAGACCAAATGAGTCAAACAGGAAGTCAGGCACAGAAAAGACGAGAGTATCCGGTCAATTTTCAAAATAAAACACCCACGAAAACTCCGGATCGTATTTCACATTGCTACATCAACATGATGTGATGTGTAACTACCATGAGCCAAATGAGAAAGGAAAAAGAGCTTACTTCAGTGGTGCTGTGTGTTGCTGTGCAGGCTCAGTGTTGTCTTAAATACAGCCACACAATTCTCTACTGAAGTTTTCCGGGTGTTTCCAAGAATGCCTCACAAAGTGGATGTCAGTATTCCTCAGTATTCCGCTTAAAAATGCATTCTGCTCTATCAACTCAAGCTCACACTAGCGCTAAGAGAGTGACGTCTGTGAGGCCGGGGAGGGAGGGGGAGCCAAAGAGTTCTCAGTAGGCGCTCCAGCCGGTGTGCTACAGAGTGACGTTCATTTACTGGAGGCATTTTATATCTGGCCGATTTTTGGAGACTATGGTGGGGCAAATTAGTCAGTGTATGGGAAACACTGTATATATACACTAGAAAACTTTTTCTCCTTGTGTGGTGTATTCTGCATGATCCGGTGGGTGCGCTGCTTTAAGTGGTCCGACAGGCAACCTGTTGAGATGATTTAGTTCTGCGTTATGCGTTGCCCCTCCGACTCTTCGGCTGGAGGACCACAGGGGGGGCTCAGAGTTATGGGGGCACTGGCCCCTGGGTAGAAGTCAGGTCACCTAAGGATGTCTTTTAAAAAAAGTGACTAAGAATCTTGGAAAATGATGGGGTGTTCAAAGTGTCATTGTCTTGTAGCCACGTGTGGTCACAGTGGCTGCTGTTCAGCAGAAGTTACAGAGTTGATTGAAAGCGTTATTGGGGAAATTTTTGTATAAATGAATGTGTACTACGAATGCGCTCTGGATCATTGACTGATAAAGCTAAATGGTGATCCAACTTAAAGGTATAATATGTAGTTTTTCCACATAAAAATGTCTAAAAACGACTAAACCAATATTATATATTTTGTTTAGTTGTGTACTTTGATTATCAGAAATGTTTCCAACAATTTTTCAAACCCAGATAAATATGAAATATTAATAAAAGTTACGGACCGTGTCATTAGGTCGCATATCAATGGCGACATAACTCCAGTTACCTTAGCCATTAAATGAAGGAGAAGAAGAAGAAGCAGACCAGATGAGACATCAGAGAATGAACATTACTGTTGCTAGGCTAAGCTAACTCGCCATGGATCATGATTATGCATTGACGGTTGTTGCACCTTCTGACACCGAAGCTGTCCCAGTAAACAAGCCGGTAAAACGGAAACGTACGGGTCAACCAAGTGATCCTGGAAGAATTTGGGATAAGAAGAGAGCTAAATCAAGGATAAATATTGGTGTGGCCTTTCCGAGATGGAGAGAGCTTCGTGAAAATCTAGGACTACAATTCGACGCTGACCTCGCGTGTGTTCTACTAGACAGGTAAGCAAACATCTGGCTGATGTTATCGAAATATTAATCATTTCCACCAGTGTATTGCAAGCACTGCTGCCCGCCGGGGCACCAGCGCGCCGGCCAGTGGCCTCTGCTGCAGAGCGGTGTGGAGCGGAGGCTGGCTAACCACAACATCTAACGATAGGTTTCTATAATGCTGAGCTGATGCCGGTAAAAGAACTGCATTTATAAAAGAGGCAGAGGAATAGCTAAACATAAGACGCACTGAGCAAGAGAGAGCAGCAGAGAGGGAGAAGCCATCGCTAACTGTAAAGCTAAGTAACTAGCAGTTTTCTCAAATAACTAGCAGATTGCTAACCGCTCAGCTAAAGTAAGTAGCTCGCTCTGCCAAAAAACTGCAACGGTTGGTTTCGGTTTCACGGAGTGAGGAACGTCAGATCTGTATCTGTTATATGACTACAACTCCCATGATCCCACGCTACTTTGTGACGTGATCCAACTCCGTCTTCTGTTATTGTTTTGGTTTGAGACCCCTAGCGGCAGAAAATTACATTGCACGTTTAAACGGGTTCATTAAAGCTCTGACATTGAGATTCCCCAAACCTATCACAAATACATTTGTGGCCACAACATTTTGTGTTTCTGAATCTTTCTAATCTGGCTGGGGATTCACAGTAATGTGAGTGATGATGTAAAAGCTGTGTTAATTTTAATGCACCGCAGCTGATGTTAGGCTGTGTTAAGCTAGCAATAGTGCACAAAAGACAGGTCTCTGCTGATGGACCTAAAATATT